TTCTTGCAAGTGAGTCTGCTGGGGTTCAGAGAAGTTAAGGAATTCAAACCACACAACCAGCTTAGAGTCTGAAGGCTGTTCCACCTCTCCTCTCTGTTCCAGGAAGTCTCCCAACTGACAAGGTCAAGACAGGAAGAGATTTTCCCCCTTGCTACCTTTAAGCTCTACAAGGTCTGTCAGTTTCCTCTTCAGGGAACAGTCTATATGCATTCCTAGTAGCCTACAGTAGTCCCTACAGTAGTACCTTGAAACAGTCAACAAAATCAGAACAAAACCTTTGGGCTAAGGAGGTTTGATTTTGTTTGCCCCACAGCTGCACATCTAGACAGCCCTACTGTCAGGAGCCATGATGGGACAAGGTAATTATTAGCAGATGATCATCCTGAAATGCTTGCCTTGGATCATTATATAATCTGCGACAAAGTGAGTCCTCACCCAGCAAGGCTGTGAGGAACTTATTTTACGAAAGATTCCTGCTATTAATATGCTTTTCCTATCATTATTATTATTAAACATATGTAACAATCACTAAACAATAACACAGCCCTTTGGAGCAGATCTCTGCAGACCCACGAAGAAGTACTGTCTTTTAGTGATGCTATATACACAAAGAGATGACTTCTTAAGTCTTAATGATGGTCCTCTAAGAATTCCTAAAATTATATCAATGATTATTAAGCTCTTTTATAGTGGGACTGCTATTAGGTCCCTTTCTGATAGTCAAAACTGCAATGAGAACTCTGCCAGTCTCCCAAGTGTCATCAGTTAACAGCACTTAGATAGTAACCAGACTTTCTCCTGCTCAGAGCACACTCCAATGAGGTTGTAAAACAATTAACCAAAGGTCACTAAAAGGGAACTCACGATTTATTATAATTACTTGGACAGAAGAGAAAATATTGCCTGGGTTTATCTATACAAAACTTCACTAATTTCTTAGTTATAATTTTAAACCTTCAGTGCACCTGTGGAGCTAGACAGGTGATGGATGTTTAGCTAGATAATTGCTCCTAATGGACATGCATGTAAACATTCTGCGTTGTAAACTTCTATTTCAATTTATGATTTGAATTTTGGTGTGAACTTGTGATGAACTTTGTAACATGTGACAGTGTACTCTGAAGATGCAGAAGTACTGAAGACAAAGACAAAGAGAGTAGTAGGTGTAGTACTCATGGTAGTAGTCGTGGTAGTGGTAGAATAGAGTAGTTGTAGACGTAGAGGTTTGTTAGGAGCCATTAGTCCTTTCCTTTCCTTTTCCCCTGCTTAGAATTTTTTCACTTAGAATTTTTCCCTTGTTAGAATTTTTTCTTTTTCCCCACTTAGGGCCTTACCACTTTTTCTCTTAGATAGCTTTCATAGTAAACTTTTTACACTTAGTAATAAACTCTATGATAACTTTTCTAAGTGTCTTTTCATCCTGTGACCTCAGACTAGCAGATTTAAGTCAGAGCCCAGCAGTTCCTGCTGAGACAGAACAAAGGCTGCATTGCCTAATCCTCTGCTGTTAGGCTACAAGGGGTTAAATCACCTAAGCCTGCAGTCTTTTACCCTCAGAAGAAGATTTTAGGACTTTTTAGAATTTATCATCAGCATTTCAGTACAGGTTAAGGAACCAGAAAGCCCTGAGACTCTCAGACTTTAAAGCCATCACCAGAGTCCTATGCTGTGCCCCTACCACTACCCTCTCCAGGCTGGAAGGCTCCTGGCATCCTGCCCTGCAGATTAAATAAGACATGTTTTCTAAAAGTTAATGAAAACAGATGAGCACCCCCACTTCTTGTTTATTGGGAAAAAAAATCACACACTCTGTTTTCACCTTCTGCAGCCCCTCCCAGATCCTACCCACCCACCCTACTCCACACCCTTTTTCTCTCTCTAGAAGACAAACAGGTGAACAAAAACAACAACAAAAAGAATTTTTTAAAACATGGAAAAGTACAAGAAACACACAGAGCCCCCCCCCCCCCAAAAAAAACTCACAAAGTTGGAAGTTGGAGACCATAATATACAAGCAAAAGACTGATAAGACAAAAAAAAATCTACAAAAATACCATTGAGTTCATTTTATGTTGGAAATCTACTGCTGGACATAGAGCCTACTCTTAAGTGTAGTTAATATACCCAATGAGATTCCTGTGGAGAAAGGGAATTTTTTCTTTGCTAGTGGATGCCAGTTGCAGATAGCTTCTAGCATATAGCTCACCCTATTTCTTATACAGGAGTTTTTAATTACTTTTTAAATTTTCATACAATATATTTTAGTCATATTCTTTCCCCAACTTCTCTCAGACTCCCCACTCTACCCTCATTTCATCGTCTTTCTCTTTTCTTAAAAAAAAAATGAATGAGTGAAATCAAGACAAAAACTATGTGTGTGTACACACTCACACAAACACAGAGTTCATTGTGTTGCCCAATAAATCCTGAGCATTCAAGAAAACTGATTGCAAATAACTTCTGGATTGATGGTGGACCTTTGCACCCACTCCACCTTCTTCCTGCTGGGATTTATCCTGTACTTGTGCAGGTCTTGTGTGAGATATCACAGTCTAAATGGACTCATGTGTGCATCCTGTGGTATCTAGAAAATGTTATTTCCTTGGAGTTACCCACCTTTGGCTCTTACAGTCATACTGCCTCCTCTTCCACATGGGTGCCTGAGCCTGGGGTGTGTGGTACAGACATTCCATTTAAGGCTGAGCACTGTCTGCATGTGGTCCAGTTGTGGTCTCTGTATAAATTACTGTCTGATTCAAAAAGCTTATCTGTGGAGGGTACAGTAATATACTGATGTGTGGATATAGCAGTGTGTTGTTAGGAGTCACTTTATTGCTATGTTAATTGAGCACAGAGGTTTTCAATCTGTGGGTCCCACACTTTTGGGTATCAAATGACCATTCCTCAGGGATTGCATATCAGCTATCCTTCATACTGTATGTTTATATTGCAATTCATAATAGGAGCAGAGTTGCAGTTGTGGAGAGCTTTTGGGGCTGCTTGGCAGAAATGTGACATTGGCCAAGGACAAGGAAATGGGCTTTAGGCAGGAATCTGACTTTGGGCCATGATAAGGAAGTAAGTTCAGGCAGGAATCTAATTTTAGGCTAAAACAGAGAAGTTCAGGCAGGAGTCTAATTTTAGGCTAAAACAGAGAAGTAATTTCAGTCAGGAATCCAAGTCTTAGGCTAAAACAAAGAAGAAAGAAGTAGGCCTCAGGCATGAATATGACTGTGGACTAGGACAGGGAAGTAGGCTCAGATACTTTGTCATCCTGATGAGCCCTTAGATACAGTGACCATGAGAGTGATCACGAGAGTGTTCACGGGACTTTGTATATTGCCTTGTTTGTCCCTTGACTGTTAGTATCTATTGTATTGTTGGTTCCTCAACCTAGAACTAACCTAAATACTTGCATGTAACTAAAAGGGTTTAAAAGAAATGTGGGATTAAACAAACCTGCCTCAGCCTTCAGCCTCAGAACTGGCTGGGGTAATGCTACAATTTGGTCTAATTGTCTCTTTTAATCCTCACTCCTGTGCTGGAGAAACTGTTGACTGACTGATCGGGCTTGGTCATGCAGTTATAAAGGGTTGGAGGTCACCACAACATGAAGAACTGTATTTACAGGGTTGTAGAGTTAGAATGGTTGAAAGCCACTGATTCAGCAGAATGCTTATAGTAGTATTTTCCCTTATGGTCCATGACCTGTCTAGACTCTGGTTCTTAAACCCATATGCCCATAACATCGGCACGTTTGGCCCAGTGATCTATCTTGTAGGCAAGTTGTTATTATAAGTCAAAGGGGACTTATAGTTGGATGAGGTTGATGACTGCATCTCTTCTGCAGTAGTGTGTACAGTAGCTTTCAACACTAGGAATGCTAGTCAGTAGAGGTGAGGCTCCTTGTTAACACCAGCTAAAGGTCTCCATGAATGTGGTGTTAGGTGTAGGGTCCTACAACCCAATAGCATAAGCCATGCCCTGTAGTATTTAAGGGACTCTATAGAATCCTTTGTCCAACAATTCAAAAGATGTAACCCATGCCTGGTAATGGGGTTTTTATTTGGTAGCATATGATATCTAGGGGACATTGTCTTCCCCCATTATATGGTAACTCCAAATTCCATTCGTATATGTATCTATTTTAGGAAACTTCTACATGTAGTACTGTAAGGACCCAGAAAGAGGACCCCATCTC